ATTGATTAATAAAAATAGAAAAAAGGGTTCATCAACTGATTCCTATTTTGCCTCATCAGAAAAAGGATATATAAATCAGAGAAAAAAAAATCTGTCAAATGTTACTTTCAGTAATGATAACCTGATGATAATCAATCAAGATTATAAAAACAATAATGACAACAACAACAGAAATGATTATCATCACTATCATCATAATAATAACAAAAACTGAAATAAATTCATGTACACCCATTTTGCCTACTTGACAAGAACCTATAAGGGCATTACAAAAATGATGAGTCAGAATGGTAAATCCATCTGCTGTATGCGAATATGAAACAATGCTTTGTCTGTTTCATCATCTGAAGGAAACTGACACCGTAGTTTTGGAGAAATATCATTCTTTTTATCTGCACCAATTTACAGGAGGTAGAACCATTTCCTGATCTCCTGGATCATGTTTATTTCATGGACTAACAACAAACATTCAAACTACTATTACCATATGTGAATGGCAATTATTAACCGAATGCCGACAGACACTTGTACTAAGTCATCAATGAGCCAATTATGAGTACTGCCTGTCTCACCCGTCTACCCTTTTTCTCGATTTACGAAAACATTTTACGTTATCTTATTTTGCTGTTACTTATATTTATATAATCATAATAATTATAATGTCTACAATAAAAATAACACCATCGATATTCATGGCATTAGTAAAAAATACATTTTTCCCCCTAATTCAAGGAAAGGTGAAATTAGGTAAGGTCACAAGGTCTACTAATTGACCCCTTTGTGGCTAAGCACTAGCAGAGCCATCTATATGCAGAGACATTTCACAAAAAAATAAAAAATGAACACGGCATTTTCCTCAGCGGAATGGGGTTAATATCAATCACAACAAGCAGATTACTATTCCCACTAATAACAAAACTGAGTATCAACTCAAGATACAAGTCTCACCTGGCCACGGTACATGTAGGCAACAATGACCTGCAAAGCATCAAAGTTGACTCCAGGAAACACGACCACCATGGGCCGCTCTTCGCTGACTTCTTCCAACATTTTCTACATTGAAATACAAAGCAAATGTAGTAAAGAAAAGTACATACTGTAAAGTATTTATACTAAGCATATATAATGATCATATTTTTTTTTCAACATTACTTGAAAATATCTATATCTAACATTGTTTGGCATATAATATTATGAATAATAATGGAATATCATGTCCACGCGCTTTGTTTGTGACATAAAACTGGATCATTATATCATCAGTTGGATATACTACATGATTCTGATAAACCTGAAAAACCTGTTTACTATGGACTGCTAGTAACTGCACAAACTGGTACCTCTGCATACATGTAAAGCACACAAAGATAGATTTACAATTTCATTTTCCTAGCACTCACATTATTTTAAAAGTAACTTTGTTGGTTATGCTAGCAGATAGTCACTGGATGTCAGTTTTATAAAAGAATGGAACTATTTGAATAATTTGTGTATGAATTATATCATTAAGCTTTGAAAATTGTATTGTATTTTTTCCATAAAAATAAAGCCTGTTTTTGAGGTTAGGAATTTAGAAATGCTGAATAATATAACCAATGCAATTGTACACTGAACAAAAACAATTATTTTTGCAAGGTATTATCAAAAATGATTGTAAACACTTACAGTGCCTTAGCAAACTGGTGTATCATATTCAATGATATATTGAACTTTTATAATCTCAGCATTTGTAAGCAATTGGGGTAAACTTTGCATACACTTAACCCATTACTAACAGATATTTTATGCACTATACTGAACCATGTGCCATGTGCTCAAGGAAAAAAATAGAAGCATGGGAAACATATAATTTTCCCACTTTCTATGATTTTGGCTGTAGTGTAAATGATTGTCAAGTAAAATCTACTATTGAGGGGCTGTAGCTCTTCAATCACTACAATAATGGCAAGGAATCCAGTCAAGCTGTGGCATCTAAGCACATGCCATTCATCAGCTACTATTAGACAATGTAAGTTAATGTAAGTTAAATTACTATTGTCATTATGGACACTGTGTAAACATAATATGAGAATAGGTAATAAAGAGAAGCTTAAACACCTACTTTGAAAAATGGACTAAAAAAGGCTAATATTATCCGATGAGCTTTGATGCTACGGGGTCCCACAGTGATGGTCACGTCTGTGAGTGTGGCTCCAGCCAAAAAATGTGGTAACTGTCGCCCCACATGTTCTCCCCAATTCTGCCACAAGACTACAACCATGATCTGAGGAGAAAATATTCAGTCTTAGTCTATTATATACATATATTTTTCAAACATCAACATCAATGCTTTAGTTTTTAGACTTAAATATATCTGAACAAAATTTACTACAATCTATACAGTTTTCAACCATGTGACCAATTTATCACCTTGATCAAAAATGTGCTTTGTGCTGCCATGGCTTGACATATAAGCCATGTCCACAGTGATTTCAATTTAATAACTGTGTTTACACTTAGATGGATCCACAAGAGCTTGGTCGCTAAGGAATCAAATTGCAATACCTGATCTCACCTGTTTACCCTTTTCTTTGATTTTTGGAAAGGTTCCTCTGAATTTTTTATCGCACTTATAACTTTATTATCATTATAATAATCATATTATCTGTTATCAATATTAATAGCATTAGAAAAAAAAAATCTGGAAATTTCAAGGAATGGGGAAACCATATAAAGTTATGTAGGGCTTACTAACAGATTCCTTAGAGGCTGAGTACTTACGAAACCATCTCACAATACATGTATCTGTGAACAAAAGGTTAAGGAGAACAGGAAAGAAAGTCCAAGTTGTGACCAACCTATGATACCAGCTTCCAGTTTTCTGAGAAAGGGAAATTAGATGAATTTGTCAGACTTCCATGTCATGGTCATTGCAAATTAAATTGGTAATTCTAAACCTAGAACCACACCCAATAATTGCTGTGGCCTCCATGCCCTTGGTGCTCTGACAAAGGCTAACATGCCTCCACCATATATTCAGCAGATAAAGATAGCCCTGATTTCTTTCTTATTGACAAATCATCAGGTGATTAATAAGCTCCATCTCTATCCTAACTCAGAAACTACTATATTTCAAAAATCCATTTGAATGAGCACCAAAATGTAGCATTATCCTGGTCCTGTATCAACATGACAGAAGTGCCCCATATTACAATAACAAAGCTAATTTATGGGAAGATGGATGCAAACATGAAATTTAGGTCCAAACAAATCTTTAAAAATACTTTTCCATACTCTAACAATACAAAAGAGAATGAAGCAAACAGGTAAAATTAGAAGAATTGGAGTACAGAAATGATGTATTATTGATGTACTTCTGAATTTCTGTTTGTGAATGGCTATATGTTGCAATGAAATGTGCAAGTGTTAGATCAATATAACATAAAGTAGTGAAAGTACTTTGGTACTCTGAAGTATATCAAAAAAATTATTTACGGCATAGTTTCAGCTAGATTGTACTGGGCAAATTTTACTTGTAATGGATAGAATGACAGAAATTAAGACACTTTTCCTCCATGGTATTTCCTAAACAAGTTGCGGTAAGTCTTTGCAGTACAGATGCACCCACCAACTCCATGTCACAAAATTTATTCAACACTTTAAGTTGCTGTGACTGTATGACTGCCCGAGGGGAGGGTTGATGGTTCTGCCCCTAGCACCCCCAGGAAATATTTTCTTCATTTCTGCATGCACGGCATGATAGGGCTGAAACTGAGTGGACTTGGTCTGTGAGCATTATTGTCTGTGTCTGCAGATTATTTCTTGTACCAGAGACTGCAACTTTTTGTCTTCTAGGATATAAAGGATATAATCTTCAATTTGCCATAACTTCGCACATCTACAGTAAAGATTAATCCAAGTTGAAAAAAAAAAGGTGTGAAACTCATAATATTTTGTTATACATTTACCGGAAAATCTAATGAACCTATCATAAAGGGTAAAAATTACTTTTACTTATACATGAAATAATCTATGCCAGTTAAGAATAACCTCTGAAATGCAAGCAGGTCATGAATACATGAAAATCACTTGAGTACAGTAATATGCCACGGTGATATGCCAGTGCGCATTGAGTGGGATGTTTGGCTTGAAGTACCGGTGTACTGATGTGAGAATGAGCTGGTTCTCTAGCCATGGCGTGATGAATTACCAATATTATTGATGATTTCATTGATGTCTTGCAATTACCATTCCGTGTTTTTTTCTGATTAGTTTGATCTTAAAATTACAATGAGACATATTCAACAATCACAGATTTACATGAATTAATATGGAAGTGCTCTGCTGATGACTCTCCTAGTGATTAGATGCGTTGGTAAAACCTTGGAATACGATTTTGTGCAAATTCAAGATTTTTTATATTCTTGGCATAGAGCTCTTTATCATTTTTCAAATCTCCGGCGTACATGTTACATGGATTCCACCCTGGAGGAAAGTAAATGGAAGCAAATGAAAGCACTGTAGGGAGGATAACAATATAAATCTAAGTTTGAAATTCTCATAAACCACCATCCCTACAAAAGTATCAAAATTAGGTCATGTTTACAGGAGAGAGAAGGAAAATTTTCCAAATACTAAATTTCTGCAGACTTAGTCAAGTGTTATTTTGAAGTCTTGCTTAGTTCAGTGCAAAAATTTAGGATATAATAAAACATTATATCTACTTTCTGGACATTACCACATATGGTTTATTTTAATTAACAAATTATCAAAATAAATGGGACCACTTGAAAATAAATACAAACTTTAGTCCTTGTGGCATCTGTAGAATATTAAAAATTACGACCATAAATTTCTGAAATCTTTAAAAAACCCTCTTCGGTTTCTCACTACATCATCATGTTTTGCAGTGATCTGAAACACTTATTTATCTGTCTCTCTAAAACATTTGTCATCTGTCTCTATAACCTACCCAAGTTCGCCTGAAATTTTGATAAACGATGTAAACAAACTCGAGTATA